GAATCCCAGCACGTCAGGTGCTCCTAAAAAAAAACAAAACAGCTCTACTGAAGCACCTGGCAAAGCTATTTATTTGAAAAACCTATGAGGGAATTGTAATAATGAGAACAGTTTACTCAAAAACATGTAAAACTTTTAATCTTAGATCAGTTATTCTGAAATATGAACAAGCTGGCCTTTGGGAAGGATCAATAAGACGAAGATTCCAAAGAATCTGCAGATCTACATGCAGATGCACTTTAGACTACAAATACTAACCCTAATCCCTCCAAATAGAAGTGTAGGCAGAACACTTGGGCTGGATTCCCTCCATGGCTGTCAGCTCCCTAGCTGACCATGTGCTGTCACATCCCTGCATACCTCTGCCTCTCACCACCCAAGATTCAGACTCAAATCAATTAAAAGAGGTAATTCACAACTGTAAGCTTCCAGAGCACTTTCATATCTGTGGAAAAGACAATTTACTTGTGCCTTGTGATCACTACAGCACAAATTACTCCTTTACATGTAGCTTGTCCACTGGAGCGCCACAGGTTTTGACTTTGATTAAAGCAAGGCCCACGAACAATGCAGACATTGAGAAAACAACTCAAAAAGCTCATTTTATACCTCTTTTCTCCAACAAAATGATTGCCAACGGGAAATCACCTCCAGTTTTTCTGTTAAATAGTGTCTAAGCTCAAAATGGCTGATCCTACAGTTATCTGAAGAGCAGTGCCTTTACCCATCACATCTCTGACAAACTCCGGGGGAGGCCGTGGTGCCCACTCATTCAGCTTCTCAGGAATTGGTACAGTCTTTTCCTGTAAGAACAAACCAACCATCAGCATCCTCCGGGGGCAACACCTACAGTTCTAACACAGGATGGCACGTGCATGCCCGCAGCCCCTTCCACCACAGGACAGACCCCAGAAGGAGCACAGCTGTGGATACATCTCCACTGACAGGGAGCAAGCAGAAAGCAGGAACCAGAGGACACCTCTCAGGACAAGGGTCAAGACGCCTCATTAGAGCCCAAGGGTTGAGATTTCCCACCAGCTCCCGGGAAATGCACAGCAAGAGGCAGACATCGGAGTCCCGGGCTGCCCCATTGCCCGCAGGGCGCCTCTTCCCTCACAGCCCAGGGCGGGACGCGAGCTCAGTACCCGTCCCTTCGCGGCCGCAAGCACGAAGCCGGCCAGCTTCCCGACCCCTCACCGGGTTCCTCATGAGGCGCTCGAGGCGGAGGCGCTGTTCCTCGGCGGCGTTGCGAGGAATGACGAGCGGCTGCGGCTCCTTGCGGGGCCGGGGCGGGCGCGGGGCCGAGGGCGCCGCCATCTTCCCGTCCCACAGCGCCCCGCCCACTTCCGGCGTCGCCACGCAAGACGATGGGCGTGGCCGCCACGATGGGAGCGGCCTGTAATGGCGGCAGGCCTGGGCCCTGCCCTTCTGCCAGCCCGTCGCAAACTGCTCGGAGCGCCTCAGAGGAGGTGCAGGAGGCAGCGTGGGCTGCGTGAGCTGTGCCTCAGCCTCCTCAGGGCTCGGGTATTCGCTGTTAGGGAGGCCTAGGATGTGTCATTAGTAAATGCACACTGCACAAGTGATGCCCCCTCAGGCATGGTGAGGGCTGTGAGGAAGGAGCAGGCGGTGCGCTGTGGCCTTGCTGGAAGCTGAGGGCTGCTCCGAGTGGCTGCTGCTGCTTTCTCCAGCCCCACAGCAGAGCTCGGCAGATCTCCTATCACCCCACTGCCCCCAGCGCTGCACCCAGTGACCCCACACCCCTGTGGGATCTGTTAGCAAGGCCACTCCAAAATCCGTCACACTCCAGGCTCTGTGAGGAGAGAATTCTCAGCATTTTGCACGGACACCCTGGCCCCAGCCAAATCCCTGCCCCGTGATGGTGTAAGCGATACGGTGCTTCCTGGTGCCTCCCGGCAGGGCTGCAGCACCATCTGCTCGTGTCACTTTGGCAATTAGCAGGCTGTGCCCGCTGGCAGCGAGGAGCTGCAACACAATTCCCCGTGGCATGGACTCACAGTAATGAGGAGGGTCGCTGCCTCATCTGTGCTTAATTAACACAGGGGCTTTGCCCAATCAGCATATGGACCAGCTGAGGGCTTGCACACCCCGAGCTATGCTTGCCTGGAGGAATGGAAGCTAGAGCTGGCTGTGATACAGCTCTCTCTACAAGCCAAATTTTTCATCGAGCTGCTGTGGCCATACAGAAATGGCATGGCATGTGCTGGGGCTGCGTGTGCGTCAGAGAATTAGCTACTAAAGGTCAACGGTGATGGAAGAAGAGGGGCATCGGGCTTTGTGTCTTTATGGAGATAAGCTGGGGCACGGAGCTGGGCGCTGGGTTGAGACAGCTCCGTGCTGTGCATGAGGAGAGGGGAGAGAAAGGGGAACGCAGAGGTTGGGAATGGTTCCATCTGAGATTTATGGGTCATTTGTATTGACCTGAATTTATTAAGCCCACATGCTCTTCTCTCGTCCGTGAAGAAAATCAGAGCGGATCCACAGGTTCAGTCCTCTCTTTGTTTACAAAAGACTTTTTACCTCTGCTGAGGTTGCTATGGAAATGGCTCTAGTTTATGCCTCGTGTTTGTCTTACCAACCTGATTTATAAAAGAATGGCTTGAATTCAGAGCTGGCTGAGTTCCCAGCTGTCTGCGCTGGCCCTGGAAGGCATCCCTGCAGCCACAGCCCTGGCTGCTGCCATGCAAACATCTTCCTCATGCTGTCTCCCAGCTTGTGAGCTCCTGTCTCTGCAGCTCTCCCAGCTCGGGGTCCAAAACACAGCTTCTGAAAGCGGGGGTGTGAGCAACTGTGCCAGTTGCTGCTGGAGAACAGCAAAGCAGTGATGGCCAGACACCACTATGGCTGGAGGGCTGCAGGGAGCAGCTGGACACCTCGATTCTCTTGCCCAAAGCGTGGCTTGTGCTGACAACGACTTGCAGCTCTGGGAAACGACAGGCAACTGCCTGTCATCGGACAGAGCCCACGCAAACAGCACGGGGAGACAGACCTGCAAGTAACACCCTCCCAAATGGCACACCTAGGTGTGGACCCTCGATGTACACGTGTTACTTTTGAGATGCATCTGGGGAAGAAAGACGAGATTGTCACTTGTGTCAGACCAAAACAGGATGGATATCATTGCGTCACTGTAAAATAAAAAACCCTTGAGCTGGGATCTGGGCAGAACTGGGCTTGCAGGGGACACGGGATTTGCATCAGAGCAGTTCAGTGCAAAGCAAACAACAGTACTTCCTGATGCGTATCAGAGAAGCTCCTTTGTGTTCCAAAGCAAATGCATTCTGAGGTGTTCTCTTAACAAAAGGGATCCTTCCGGAAGCGCAGGGAGCTGTGCACAAAAGCCCTGCAAATCTATCAGGTAGGAGCCACTGCAGACAGCTGAAACACCCGAGAAATGCGGGGGGCTGCACGGCTGCAAGCTCCACATCTTCCTCCTCCTTTACGGCATCAGCCAGCATGCAGCACACCGCGGAGCAGCACCAACCTGCCCAGCCCACACTGAGCCCACTCTCCCGTTTTGCTGCTACATCTCTGTGTGCAGTGCAGAGAGCAACCCAGCAAAAGGACAGGAACGCACGTTTTCCAGCAGAACTAATGCCGTAATTAGGCAATTCGCTAATAGCCGAGGTGTGAATGGTTTACGGGGAGGCAGGAGGAGCAGCTGTCCTGCAGACACAGCCCTCACAGCAATGAAGGGCTGTCAGCTCCCCAGCTGGCCAGGCCCTGATGGATGGGCATCTAGGGCTGGTTAACAGGCTCCAGAGATTTTTGGGGAGGGAATGTTTTTGTGAATGGATCGTGATGCAACCGTGGCCTGATTACAGAGCTGAGCAGCTCTCCCCACCCCCAAAAGCCATGTGTGAGCTGTGTCTGGAAGCTGTGTCTGCCATGCTGCCGAGCTGTGACAGTGCAGTCTGGAACCACGTACCGGTTTTCCCTGGGGATCCTCAGCAGAAAAGAGCACGCTAGGAAGATGTACGGCAGCAGAGCATGAGGCACTGCCTGCCTCCCTTGGGGATGGGGGTTGGAAAACATGTATGGGGAACACTGCTGCTAGGAGATGCTCCCCAGGGCTGTTAATTCACTTTTATCTGCTCCGCTCCAGGGTTGAAGGCGTTTCAACTTACACCGGCAACACACCAGACAATGAAAATGACAGACTGAGAGGAGAGGAAACCCAGCCCCCCAAAGGCTGGACGTGTCCTCCACCTCCCTCTGCTCAACCGTGATAAAAAATGCCCCCTCCTCCCTCCTCAGTGTGCCAGACCCACTCTGCTGGTCAGTCTGTGCCTCACCATAGCTGCCTCAGGCCAGCAGCGAGGTCTGTACGCACGCTGCATGACAGCATCCTCTCTCTTTCTACACAGCAAAGCTCCATGCTCGTGTTCTTGTGCTGTCCTTTTTGCAAGTGGTTTTATTTTAAAACTGGAACTTGAGTTCTCCATTTGTTTAACAAGTCCCCTTTTTTTCCTTTTTTTTAAATAAAATTAATTTATTCTACAGAACAGTAAACTCTTCCAGACTCTTCCCTATTTACAAATGAACATGTTTGTTTGCAGATCGCTGCTCCCCCCACCCCTCTCCTATCCCGTGACGCAGATGATGACAAATCAGCCAACATGTGAAGTCCTCTAAGGCAGTGCTCCCATCCACCGCCACCTGGGGACTGTGGGGAGAACAAGAGCAGTGACATCTGTGCCACAGCTGGAGGTCCCCACTCAATCACTGTGTATGTAAAGGGAGTTTGTGTTAAATCCAGCGACACAGAGCATCCAGCTTCTCCCTTCGTGAGCAAGGAGAAATGCCCACTCCCACCGCCCCAGCCTTCACATAGGGAGGTGGCTACTGGCAGGGCAGGGATTGAGGGCTTGTGGTTGCAACAGTGGGAGCTCCCAGCCCTCAGCAGCCCAGAAGGCAGCTCTCAGCTCTGGAGGAAGCTACAAGCCTCAAAGACAGGCTTGTAGCCTGTCTTCTTGATGTAGAAGCTCATCCCTGCCTGTGGGAAGGATGAGAAGCGACTCCAGAGTTGGGACACACTTTGCTAGCTCAGGAAAGAAGGCACCTAACAAAAAAAAAATCTGATCCAAACCAAAACCAGACACCAGAATAACTCTTCAGGCAATTCACTGGGGTTTGAGCTTGGCTGTGGCTTGACTCTTACCCTACATGAAGAACACAATCCCAGCAAGCAGCCTGGCCCCAGCATCTGTGCTCTCTCTCTCAGGTCTCTGCAGTGCAGGAGGGAGCTCCTTTTCATGCTGGAGATGTGCTGCAGGGGTCTGCTCAAAAGCCACCATGCTGCTAACAGGCAGAGACAGCACATGGTCCCTGCAGGCAGCGGTGCTGCCACGTGGCACTGGTGAGGGCAGGGTGGCACTTGAGCAAGGGAAATCCCAATGCTGTCAGCCCAACCCAGTCCCTGTGTTCCACCTGCACAGCCACACAGTTCCACCAGGAGCCACACTCCTTTCATTCTCTCTGGGTTTTTCAATTTCTATAAGAAAAAAAATAAAATAAAAATCTTCAATAGCATCTACTGAAGGTCTGTAGTGTTTGCACTCCTGGGGTGTGCTGTGGTGGCAATTTTGCTTCCAGCCCTGCACCTGGCCTCTGTCTGAACCCCCTGGAGATACCCCAAGTAAGGGCTGATGTGAGTGGGGCTGGTGTTGCGTTTTCCAAGGTTTGCCTTCAACGATGGCAATGAGTGCTGTGGAAAGGAGGGAGAAGATTGCTGATACCTTGTAAGCAATTCAAGGTTTCAGAAGCAAAGGAGAGGAAGAAAGGGAGCATTCAGGGAGTCTCTACAAGGAGAAAAAGGACAAAGGAAGAGAAAGGGCAGGAAAGCAGGGAAAGACCTTCCTCCAATGAGATGCATCAAGCTTTGGACAAAAAGCCTTCTCCTGGCAGAGCATGGGAAACTTGTGCCCCAGAGACGCACAAGGATGGAGCTGTGCTGAGCATGGGGCACAACGCCTATAGGCACACAGACCTGTGCCTACGAGGACAGCTCTGCAGGGACACTTCCATCCCCATCCCAAAATGCCCAAACCTCAGTGCTGGGAGAACACTTGGTCAGGAGGGAAAGGGAAGGTGCCGCAAGCTTCAAAACAGCACTGATGCTTCCAACCTCGCACCCACTCAGTGCTGCCAGGTCCAGCTGGGCCATCACACAGGAGCAAGGAGGATGTCCTCGCCCCGGTGCTGGTGGTGGCAGTGAGGCTGGTGCAGCAGCAATGGGCACGGTTGCCCCGTGTCCCCCCATCATCCCGCCCCTAAGGGGCTCAGTAGAAGGAGTATTGGTTCTCCACTGCCCGGGTCCGACTGCGGGCACCGTCAGCATCGTGATAGTCCTCAGTGCCGGTGGCAGCAGGCTCCGGCCGGCGCTCAGCGCTGTCACTGCGGCTGCGGGGGCCCAGGGCTCCCTCCAGGCGGTGGTAGGGCGTGGGGACGGCGGGGGGCACAGCCACCCCCTCAGTGGGTGGTGGGACTGGCGGGGCGGCGGGCGCCGTGCTGCAGAAGTAGTGTGGGGGTGGTGGGTCGGTGCGGCAGAGCGGCGGCTGTGGCACGAGGGCTGGCGGAGGGCCAGTGTCTGCAAGGGAATCATGGAATATCTCAAGTTGGAAGGAACCCACGGCACCACTCAGAAATGAGAGCATACGTCTGAGAGCACCGTCCAGATGCTAATGGAATGGGGAGCTCAGCCCCTCTAAGGGTGCCTGGGGGATGGTGCCTTCCCAAACCCGTTCTCCCCATCCTTCACCCTGTGCACCCCAACCTTCCCTGCCTACCTTCTCCATGCCCCAGTGAGCTGTGCAGACCTCTAACCCTCTCCTATTGGAGCCAAGGATCCTAAGGAGACTCATTTATTTTTGGGTGGTGTTTTTTCTCAGAAAGAGTGGTGATGCAGTGGCACAGCTGCCCAGGGAGGTGGGGCAGTCCCCATCCCTGGAGGTGTTCCAGAACCATGGAGATGTGGCACTGAGGACATGGGGTGGGCTGGTGTTGGACGTGGGGATCTGAGAGCTCTTTTCCAACCTGAATGGTTCTACGATTCTGTGGTTCTACGATCCCAGCCCCAATCCTCCCCACCAGCCCCAAACCCAACACGGCCCCAGCACGCACCGGGCTGCAGGCTCTGGGCCACCACGTAGCTCCGAAGCGTGATGTCCGCAGCGCCGCCTGACTCCAGCGGGATGGGGTGTGTGTGGAAGTGCCTCAGCATGTCGAAGATGCTCTGGAACCAGAGGTGCTGCACGTGGCACTGCCCGCTCTCGTTCAGCGACAGGCGGAGGTGCTGTGAGGACAGAACAGGAGGTGAGCTGCAGGTGGAAGGCCCCAACCTCTCTCAGCCTCGCAGCTGCCCGAGGTTGGCTCATGAAGTCACCCACCTTGGCTTTCCCCTGGAAGTTGAAGGTCAGCACGTACTCCCCTGGCCGTGTCTCACTCTGCCGGATGACGAACAGGCCGTGGCTTCGGGCACCGCCAAACAGCACCAGCTGAGCCGCCTTGATCCGTGACAGCGTCCCATGGAACCAGGGGAAGTCAGAGAGGTTGATCTCTGTGTCCACTTCGCTGTCCTCTCCTGGCCGCAAGCACCACTGGGTTTTAGGGAGCATGTAGGCATTGCCCTCTCCCAGCCCCAAGGATGAGGCAATGTGGCCACGTGCTGCATTCCCCCAAGCAAACCTACCTGCAAGGTGCGTGCTGGCTGTGGGTGCAGACTCCAGTGTCTGCAAGAAGCTCTCCAGTGGGACGTGGGCCAGCAGCTCCCCCACGGAGTCCCTGCCCCGGCCATGGGGTGTGGGCATAGCAGTGGTGGTAGCACTGTGAGCACCGGGCAGGGCACATCTATCTGGCAGCCTGTGCACATCTGGAAGGAAACATTGATGCTCTCAAGCAAGAGCAGGCATGCCTCCATGACGGGGGCTAGCACGAGGACCCAAGCTCCCAGTCCACGCTGCCTGACAGGAGCTGCCCCACACACAGCAGAGGTGGCAGCAGCAGACACATCCCGACCCCTGTGGGATTTCTCACCATCAGCCAGGAACTCGCAGCTACAGGAGGACGCCCGGCCCGGCAGGCAGGCTCCCTGAGCACAGGATGCCAACTCGATGTCATCCCCGCTATCCCTGGTGGGAGAGCACAGAGCAGAGGATCACACACTACACACGTGGCATCGCCCCCTGGAGAGACTCCTTTTGCTCCAGCCCCACCATCCCAACCAAATCCCAGCTTCTCAGCCTCAGCCCTTCCTCCCAGAGCACAAAAGAACCCGCAGCACTCAGTGCCATGGGATGGGGCATGGTGAGAAGCTAATGCACCACACACCCAGGCTGCCCCGTGCACTTGAGCACCATTGTTGAGCAAGCTCCCAGCTTGCTCACAGCCTATTTTTATCCACCCGTGGCATTCGGGTGCTCTTTTGCTTAACAGCAGCCACGTGTGTGCCAGCAGCCAGGAAGCGGCTGCGTTAGCGTAAGGGCTCACGGGGGAGCTGCTGAATTATTTAGTGGCCAGTAAGTGAATCAGCCACTGGGAGTCATTCAGCTGCAGCCACTTTAAAAAAAAGAAAAAGAAAAAATAAATAAATAAGAGTAGAAGGAAACCAAAACCGACAGAGCTCTGCAGAAATCCCGTTGCTGGGTGCTTACGCAGAGGTTTCAGCTCGGTTCCTTGGCAGGAGGACTGAGCGCTGCATGCAGGAGCTGAATGAAAATTCATTCTTGGCACAGAGCGCGCGTGGCAGCGTATGAAGCGGCTCTTTATTATTTGCTGTGGAGTTCATTATTATTTGCTTTATGGCTGTGTCTGGAGGCCAGCACGGGGTTGTATATATTTAAAGAAGCATACAGCTGAATTTCCCCAGCAAAAGGCAGCTTTGGGGACAAGCTGATGTAGGGAGGGGGGCACAGGAGGCAGAAGGGAGCTCCCCAAGCTCCCATCCCAGCTTTGTTCAGGGCTCTCACTCCTAAAAGCTCCCTTTGGAAGCCATGGCAAGAAGGGCAGTGCTGGTGCTCCCTGGGGGAGTGTGCCTGCAGAGCCTTCATTACGGCACGGATACTGGGCTGGAAATAAAAGGGTGGGAGGTACGGCTGATACTGAGTGCATGCTCTGTAGGGTACAGCTCTGACACACAGCAGTTGCTGACTCTGCCTCCAGATTTTTGCCCCAGTGAATCAGGGACTTTCTGCAATAAGCCGGGCAGCAGAAGTTGCATCAGCTGGGGTCTGTTCCAAGCCATTGGTCTGTGAGGGCTGCCTACCAGTACTACCAGCCCACCACTCTCTCTGGGCTGTACAGGGGAACTTTTCGCTTGCTGGAACAAGACAATTTTCCTTTCAACAAAAACATCGTGCCTGAATGGTGCCCAGGTCATGTCCTGACCGAGTGGGGAGAAGGGGGTGCAGTGTGCAGGGGGAGCCCAGCCATGCCCATGAGCCTTACCCAGGGTCAATGCAGTCCTGGATATCTGCCACCCACGAGTGTTTCTGCAGGGAGTCAATGGTCTCCAGGATGTACTCGGCACCGTTCTCCACCTGGAGGTGAGTCACAACAGTGTCAGGTCATGTTTAGAGTCCTGCACCCCCCACCAGGCAAAGCCAACCCCATAACACAGTGGGACAGCAGCCACCTCCACATCTCCGTACTGCCACTAATAACTCCTTGCTTGGAGGACACTGAGACGTCTCCATCCCAGCAAAGGGATGGCAAGGGGTGACCCAGAGATGCTCAAAGACTGTGAACCCAAAGGATCTGGGCTGCTCTGAGGCTGGGAAGGGTGCAAACACCATATGGCAACAGGGGGGCAGTGGGCACCAGGAGATAGATGCTGCTGCCCCATCCTTCCCAGACCCCCTGCGTGACCCTGAGCTGGGAGGAGCCCTGGCTCTGGGAGGGTATCGCATTGCCAGCCAAGAGCCTTCTTGCTAATTAAATTAATGGCATACAACTGAATCACTGTCCTGAAAATAAACAGGGAGCAGTGCCCGGGGCGAGCAGCACCCGGTCCCCTGCCATGCGCCAGCTGCAGGGGAGCAGCAGAGCCCCGTTTTGTTTAACCAACGGTTTGCAGCTTGGGAGAGCACAGTGCTCCTTCATGCACAGCATGAAAGCAAGCAGAGCATGTGCAGGGCTCGGATATTTTGCAAGCACTGCTTGTGCAATGGAAAAAATGCGTGTGCTCGGTGTCTGATGTGCGGCGAGAACGCACCGTCTGCTAATTGCTGGGTGACTGAGCATCATGGGGTCCAGCGTGGTCCCTCTGCATGAGGCAGGGGCTTTCCCACCCATGGGTGAAGGCTCTACATCAGTCCCAAGTGCAGAAGGCAGCAGGGGCTGCTCCCCAGCCCCTGTCCCACCACTCTGATCCATGCCCCAGCACCGAGGGGGGCGCCAGTCCTCTGCAAAGGGCAATAGCAACAAGCAACAGGAATGAGGCCCAGGGCAGAAAGTGAGCCACGAGGGTGTCAGAAACACACCATGAAAGGGAGATGCGGGAGGGAGCACAGCAGGAAAGGGGCAGCAGATGATGCTGAATGAGTCCCTGGGGTTGACTCAGTGCTTGATGCCTCACAGAAGAGATCGATGGCAATCGTTTAACCCTGCAGGCAGAATGGGGCAGGAGCAGGTTAGAGGGTAAACGGGGAGGGGATAATTACTGAGAAGGTGGGAGCAATGCTGGAGTCAAGGCAGTGGAGGAAGAGCAGCAAAAGGAGGCTGAGATTTTACAGGGATCTGGAAACCATGATCAGAAGAAATGATGAGCCATATTCCAAGAGCAAACACTGATAGTTAATGGCCAAAGCAGAGGAGATGCTGAGCTCTGTGCTCACAGCCCTCACAGCCCCACTCATGCTGACATTCAGCAGTGACGAGGACAGAAGGAAGGAGGAGAGGATGGATCCCTGATCAATTCAGAGATGACACCACGCTGCAGCGTGCTGGAGGATGACGCAAGAACTCCAATGAATGCCCTGATGCTGAGAAACCAGCTTTGAAAGAAAAAGACCCAGGCAGCTCTACCTCAAGGGCATGGCGCTGACGCCAGCAGGGGAACCACGGCTGCAAAGTGCTTCTGCAAAAAGCACGGCAGGGTTAGGGCAGCTGATGAGCTGCTGTGAGTCAGCGGCATCCTCTGGGCATGGAGACAGCCAGAAGATGCGCTGGGGCTGAGGAAAGAGGAAGAGGAAAGGAGAAGCGATGCAAGGAGAAGCGATGCTTCCTGCTCACTCCGGGCTGCTGCACTGCCTTCACTTTGAAGGGGGACCAACATCAACAGGGCCTGAGGGAACAGCATGGAGCTGCGTCAGGGGAGGTTTGGGCTGGTGGTTAGGAGGAGGTTCTGCACCAGAGGGTGTTGGGCACGGAACAGGCTCCCCAGGGCAGTGGGCACAGCCTTGAGGTGCTGGAGTTCAAAGAGCATTTGGACAGTACTCTCAGATGTGTGGTTTGGGTGGCCCTTTGTGGAGCCAAGAGCTGGACTTGATGATTCTTATGGATCTCTTCCAACTTGGGATATTCTACGATTCTGCGGCTGGGGCCATGCAGTGCACAGTGAGAAGATCCCTGCTGCCACCCACCCCATGGTGCTTCCCAACACTGCCACCTGAGCCTGGGATTTGCCACAGAGGGCTGCTGCCTGTCAGCAGGGAGCATTCAGTTAATTGCATTGTATGGAGAATGCTTTCTCTGGGGTCTCTAGCTGAGGATGGATTCAGTCTCTCTGCTCGCATCCCTTGCAAGTTATCTCTGGATACCCATTTCAGCACTCTTGTAGTGATGAGGTAAAGCAAAACACGATGGCAAAGCCAGGCAAACACCAGGGAGGTGGGGGAGTCACCATCTCTGGAGGTGTTCACAAACTGTGCAGATGTGGCACTGAGGGACACTGTCAGTGGGCACGGTGGGGGTGGGCTGGGGTTGGACTTGGGGATCTGAGGGGTCTTTCTCAACCTTAATGATTCTGTGACTGCACCTCAATCCCAATCTACCTCGGCATCAGGTGGATGCTGTGTCACTATGGGAGCCCCAAAGGAGAGCACAGCATGGGAAGGCAGGGCAGTAGCAGCATCAGTAATGCTGGGGCAAGGAAATATCCCTGGGGCCAAAGCATCCCTGCAGTGGGGTTGGATGTGGGGCTGGATGCCCACCGCTGCCCCTACCCTCACCTTCAGCACAAAGGTGTTGTCCTTGTCAGGCATCTCCAAAGGCATGGTGGTCCGCACCTCGATGATGGCTGACAGTGGGATGCTCACCTTGGGCTTGGAAGCCTGAAAAAAAGAAATAAAAGAAAAAAGAATGAGAACAAACAAACAAATAAATCAAATCAATCAATAAATAATAAAAAGTCTTCGCTCAGTCGAATCAAACTGTCCCAGGGGGGAACGCAGCTCTCAGCAAGGCAAGATAGCAGCTCAGCCCACACGCTTGTTACGGGGGGGTGGGGAGATAAAAGAAAAAAATTAAAAAAAGCATTGATTTCCCTCATGTGCCTGATAACTCTGAGCTCTTTTAATTAAATGAAGAAAAGGCCTGGTGGAAGATGGGGAAGTTCATGTGCTTCTCTGCCAAGCCTCCTTGCTGCGGCACTGGCATCCCGACGGGGCTGGTGATGAGCACTGGGCTGCAGGTTACCAACAACAGGTTCAGTTCCTATTTTTTTCTTTTTGCCTTTTTTTTTTTTTTTTTTTTAAAAGGGGAAAAAAGCTAAAAGCTGAACTATGAGAACAGGAACTGTTCCTTTCCCCTCTGGGATGTTTCATTTCCACCTCTGCGATCCGCAGCACCACCTCCACGTGTGCTACGTGGGGCCCAGCACTGCTGTGTTCTTCCATCCGCGTTTCCACCAGACAAGGTGAGAATGGCAAAACCCAAACTCCTCATTCAGCAGCGGGCAGGGAACAGCCTGCTCCTGAGGAGTCTTCCTGCACCCCGTGGGAAGTGCTATTAATGGCCACGGGGGCATCTCTGCAAGTGTATTTTCCCCTTTTTCTAAGCCTTTGGGCGCTCAGAACAACTGTCAGGGATCCCTGGGCTCATTGCTTCCCACTGAAGCAGTAGTTAAGCAGGGACATGATGGGATGAGGGGAGAAGGAAAGGAAAACTGAAGACAGAGGGCTGTGATTACAGCAGGCTTTCCTTCCCATGGCATTTAAATAACATGAGATTTCTATTCTAACACATCTAGTAAGGCCCCAGGGAATCACTTACTATTTGCCCCAGGGCTGCCAAAGATGAGCACACACAGCACAGATGAGGCTCTCTAAGCACAGGGGAGGGCTGGGTAGCACAAGGACAGTTGGACATTAGGAAAATCTTCTCCTGAAGAGTGGTGATGCAGTGGCACAGCTGTCCAGGGAGGTGGGGAGTCCCCATCCCTGGAGGTGTTCCGGAACCGTAGAGATGTGGCACTGAGGGACGTGGGCAGTGCTGGTGGGAGGTGGATGGTTGGACTGGGTGATCTTAGATGTCTTTTCCAACCTCAGTGATTCTATGATTGTTCCAAATGAATTAACAGTTTGAAAATAAAGAGTGCCGAGACCAAGCGTGGGACCTCCTGGTGGCACGTGGAGCACTCTGCAGAGTGTTGGGGAGAGCAAAACCTCCTCATGTTCAGGACATTGTGCATCCCAGCATGGCAGTGAGCTTCTCTGCAACCACCAATGCCTTGGGCTGAGCCAGCAGGCTGGGCTTCAGCACCTTTCCAAAGATCACTGGGGATGAGAACCGGTGCTTCTGTGGATGGGACCCATGTGTGTGCATTCATGTCTCAACGCTCAGCACCACACCTCCCCAAACCCACCAAGCACAACTGCTGCCTCAACTTCACCCCAACACTTCCAAGGACCTCAGCCAGGCCTTACCTTGGGAGGGACGTAGAACTCGAGCAGGAATCTCTCCCCTTCCACCTTCACGGCCTTGCGCAGCAGGAGGCGGCACTTCTGCCACTGTGAGCTCCCCACACAGTTCGTGTCATCGGCCACCATGTAGCGCAGCGTGCCCTCCCTCTGGATGTCCACCAGCTCCACCTTGGAGGACTGTGCCTTGGACAGACGCAGCTTGTGGGTCCACTTCTCCCGGGGGTCACCGGGCTCCTTGCCCCACGGCTCCCTCTCGGTCCTCCTGGTGCCTGGAGCCGCCTCGGCGCCCGGCTCGGGAGAAGACCTTCGGTGCCACATCTCCTTCATGCCGTCCACCACGCACAAGCTCATGTTCCTCAAGGAGAAGCCCTTCTTGAACTTGGGCTTGGCGGAGGCGTGCACGGAGACATCCTCCGAGCTGCGGGACTGGCCATAGGAGGACACTTTGCGGGCCTGCGCCTGCTGCACCGGGCTGAGATAGCGGCCGGCACCCAGCGGGGCCTCCATGCTGTCCAAGGACTCGGTGGACGTCTCCTCCTTCCGCTGGGCCACCTCCCGCCCGTAGGGCACGTGGCAGTTCTGCAGCCCCACGAAGGGCACGATGTTGTACTTGGTGGGCGAGTCGGAGACAAACACCCGGCTGACCTCCACGCTGAAGATATCCAAGAAGTTGGCGGCGAAGTGATGGGAGAAGGAAGCCTCGGCGCCCGGCGTGTCGTAGTGCGGGTTCTCCTTCAGGAACTGGCAGAACTTCTGGGCGAAGTCGACGGCGGCCGCCTGGGCGTGCAGCTCGCAGAACTCACGCCAGTCGGGGAGCGGGGAGGAGGGCTCCTGGCACAGGGCATCGCCGTTCATGGCTGCCCCATTCCACCTGGCGGCGGGCTGTGGGCAAGGGCACAGCGTCAGCATGGCCGCGACGGCCCCCCCCGCAGCTGGTGCGGGTCTGCAGCCCCAGCACAGAGGGAGAAACGCTGTGGGAAAGTGGTTTTGTGCCCTTTCCTCTCCCTCTGCCGCACTGGAACCAAACGTGGCCCTGGCAGCGGCCATAAATCGTACTTATTTTATGATTATGACCCATTCAAAAGTGCCATTGATTTCTCATAAAACCACCGAGGAGTCTGTGACCGGAGCAGCCCGGGGACCTCCAGGCCCATCATTAGACCCCACAGCCTCAACAGAAAGCCCCGGGGATCAACAAGTCCATGGGTTAAAGGGAAAAATCAACCAAGAAAGCAGAGCTGGAGCCAGCAGGAGCTGAGCAGAGGTAAAGGCCAGACCCACGTTGCCATGGGAGAAGCACCCAACGTCACCAACCTCTGCCCAAACTGTCAACACGAGTTGGGAGTGTGAAGCCCGGCTTTTCCACTGCCTCGCAGTTCCCCATGTGCTTCTCTGCCCCACTCACACAGCAGGGAAATCCCCGGCCTTGCAGTTAGGGATGTCTTTGAATTTCCCCAAGAGACAGCAGGAAAGCAGCGTAAAACGCAAAGCTGTTTGTTACCAGGCCAGCAAATGCAATTCTCACACATCCATCCATCACTGGCACAGAATTTAAAGGCTCAGCTACTGCCCTTCAGCACTACAGTGCACGGCTGCAGCTCCCTGAGCACACAGCAGCCCAATAGGGATTTTGGGGAGACAAAGAGGGTCTCCTGCTGCCAATCCAAGTGGGCATGGCCAGCATCACCAGGAAGACAGCTTTGCCCTGAGGGCTGTGCTTCTCCCCATTGATCCCAGGAGGGATGGAGCAGCAGAGAGACTGCCCAGAACTGAGGGGTTGCCAAGATGTGACACCCAGAGAGATTAGAGAGGGGGGAAAAACAAACAACAAAGCCCAAAGCGCTTCAAAAAATGATAAACCCCAAACAGAAAGCCGGGCCACCCAGCCACAATGGAGACACGCACACAGAGGCATCGCAGCATCTTGCTTTCATCTGCACAGGGATGACAGAATTTCAAAGGGCAATTTATAAAAATGAAGCCTAGAGGAGCGATGACTTGCAGGCCTGGAGGAGGCAGTGGGGTGCACAGCTCCCCATCATCCCCTGCCCATAGTAGGTCCAGGACCCCTCTTTGGGAACAGCAGGGGGCTTGGGGCACCCTCCGACACCGCAGAGACATCCCCCCCTGGCAGGCACTCCTTTACCTGATTCCTGCAGGAAGCAGCTCCCAATTATCTCTGCAGATTTACCTTTCATCTCGGTGCCTCCGCTCCCCTCCATGCCAACAGCACTGCCCCACTTCTCAAAATAACTTCCATGGCACAGACAGCATCCCCGGGTGGGGCGCTGGGAGGCAAAGCAAGCAGCAAATCCACAGGGGCTTTTGGGAGACTGCGGGCAATTCACCCTTAGCCCCACTGCCCAGGTGCTGTAATGTGCTCCCATGGAATAAGGCAGAGCCCTTGGCAAGGGAGGTCTGCCAGGGGTCATAGACAGAACATAGGAATATGGGAATCATCACTGAGGTTGGAAAAGACCACTAAGGACATCAAGTCCAACCCACCCCACCCCACTGACTGCAGCCCTCAGTGCCACATCTCCACAGCTCACAAACACCTCCAGGGACGGGGACTCCCCCACCTCCCTGTGCAGCTACTGCATCACTGCTCTACGGGAGAAGAAATTGTCCCTAATATCCAACCTGAACCCCCGTGGTCATAGAGTGACTTCAGGGACCGCGGGGCACCCAGCCAAAGACGTGGGCTGTCATTGCTTCTAACCCACCTGCACCTCAAATGCCACCGGGGCAGAGCCGCGTCCTGCTGCTGCTGTCACTTGGGGGGAAGCAAGTCAAGATTTTAGAAGGGGAATGAATGAATGAATAAATAAATAAATAAAAAGATTCCTGGGGAGCGGCCAAGTGGAAGCCCAGGTTGCAGTGTGAGCCAGCTGCTGGCAGCCAGGCCATGCCAAGCGCTGCCGATAAGCCGCAGGGATGCGCCCCATGCAGCGCCGTGCGAGTCGGCACACAGCAGGAGGAGGAGAAGAGACGTGAAGAGAGCTTCTGACCTCCAAAAGAAGAAATGAAATTTCGGCCGTCAGCAGAAGTGCAAAGGACCACGGAAAAAAACAACAACAACAACAAAAAACAACAGGTCTCCGGTGAGGTGGGAGTCAGGACAAAGCCGCTGGGATTTGCTGAACCAGAGGAGCAGGGAGGAACTAACAGCTAATGAGGTGTTAATAACGCAGTGCCGGCCACGGGACAGCGGAGCAGCCAGGCCAGCACTTGCTCCAAGGGCTTTATTTAAGGAAACAACCCTAATAAAGAGATGTTTCCTTTCCGCCCCACACAGCCTGGCCAGGGGAGGAAAGTCAGGCAGAATGGCACGCAACCTTCCTAGGGTACGGCACCGCAGGGACCCGCGGCCATCCTGCAGGGAGCGCTGGGGTCAGGGTGCGTGCGAGGAGGAGGTCCCGCTGCTCAGCTTCCAGCAACATCGATGCCACTCAAAGGAAAGCCGGGCACCTGCTCACCCCCAGCACAGGGGCTGACCTCAGCCGTCCCCACGTGTCCGCGCCGGGAGATCCCTGGGTCACGAGCAGGCGCTGCAGCAATGTGACACCGCGCGGTCCTCGGTGCCGCTGCTGGCACGGTGAGCAGAGCGCAAGGCTCCGGGGCGCTGCCAAAGAGGCTAAAAACAGGATGGGGACCGCGCCGGGGGCACGGCGAGCATCGTGCCCAATGCACTGCCTTCATGTTTGCTATGCGGCCCATAGGGATGGGAGATGGAGACCCAGCCACCTCCTCCTGGTGGCCTTTGTGCCGCCGCCAGGGCCCCAGACCGGCTCTATGTGTGGTCAGAGGGACAGAAAGCCGTAATAGCAATAACAGAATGCCTGCCAGGGCACCTTCTTGGGGAAATAAGGGTGCTTTTGGTGCAGCAGGACACCGTTCTGCTCTCCCAATGGGTGCTGTTCACCTGCCCGGCTCCACGAGTGTCACTGCACACTGTGATCCACCCTGCTGCTATTTTTACCCCCACAATAGCAGAGTGGTGGCAGAGCCCCATCCCAGCCCGGCGAGCTCACGTTTCCCTCGCTAAGCCTCAGCTTCCTTCCGCCCCTCGGCCCACAACAAATCTCTCCTCCTCTCAACTTCCCACTCCAACAGAGCCCACGCTGGGCGCCTCTGAGCGCTGTGACTTAAGCACTCACCCTGTAGGGCCATAGAGGGCTCAGAGGAGTTGGTTTGGGGCACAGCGTGGCACGGCACAGCCTTTCCCAGCTCTCAGCTGGGATCTCCATCCCTTAGGGGATGGGAAGGAAAACCCCAAGATTGTTTTTCAATTACGGCTCATAATGAACACGGGATAAAGTTACACAGGTCTGTATGCGTTGTCTCTCAGGCGCGTGCGCCGACAGCATCCGATGGCACCCAGACGGGGAAGCGGGGCTCTGCCCTACACCACAACGCTCACAGCCCGGCACTCAGTGCAGCACAACAGCTCCATAGAATCCCTCTGAGCTCCACGTCCCTTGAACAGGCGATGCCCCGAGGTCCCACATATCCCACTCCCCCTTTGCTGTGCTGGGTACAGCATGGGGGGCTCTATCTGTGGATGCTCCCCCCCATGGCAATGCCCCACTGCCAGGTGCACAGAACACCACCAGGACACCCTGCAGCTGCCATGGGGAAGATGTAATCTTCACTGCTCTGCTCGCCCCCAGCTCGGAAGCGCGGCGCTGGGGAATGCCAAACATCCACAGACTGTGCACCCAACAGCAGGTGCTGTGAGTGCTCAGGGCTTTCCCCCCTCGAAAAAAAATAAAAATAACACCATCAGGTGTGGGATGACAGCTCTGTCGCAGTGGGGGGGATTTGGGCTGAGGAAGAATGGGGCACCCCAAGATGCACGAAGGCAGCAGATATGCGGCCACCACTGGGTTTCTGATTCTGCAATTGTCAGCCCACCCTGGGGAAGAGGAAGAGGAGGAGGAAGGGCTGCAGCACCCGCAGCGTGCAGACACCAACGTGCCTCCGAGGAGGGATGAGAGCAGTTGGGTGAGAACCACGAAGGTTGGCCGCGACCACTGCGACCATTCAGCCCGACCATCGCGAGACCCCCCCGGTGCCGAGCAGGGAGCAGAGCCGTACAAAGCCCAGCACCATCACAGCGCCGGCACACGAGGGCCGCCTGTGCTCCATCCCGGCTGCAGCCCCGAGCGCAGCGCAGCCCCGCGGTTACCTCCACTCCCGGCGCAGCTCAGCGTGTCCCCGGGGCAGCGCGCTTCCACCCGCGCAGGTGCATGGCTCAAAGCGACGGATCCGTACGGCCGAACGCGGCTCTAGGAGGGACCTGGAGGGCAAAGTTGGACGCGCTCAGCCCCACCGGAGCGAGAGCGGCGCTTCGCATCGCGGCGGATCTCACCCGCGGGGCACCGCGGAGCCCCACAGCCCCGAGCAGCGGTCCCAAAGGCCGCGCAGCGCTGCGGGGAATGCGGCAGCGCCGGGGGGGAGACCCCGGGAGGGAGGGGGGATAAGGGGGTAGGGAGCGGAGCTGCTGTGCACCCGGAGCTGGGAGGG